ATATTTTTAATTGTTTTTTTACAGACAGGAAGGGAGAGGGAGAGAGAGTTAGAAACATTGATGAGAAACATCAATCAGCTGCCTCCTGCACACCCCCCACTGGGGATGTGCCCACATCCAAGGTACATGCCTTTGACTGGAATCGAACCTGGGACCCTGAGTCCGCAGGCTGACGCTATACCCACTGAGCCAAACTGGTTAGGTCAGATTGTTGTATGCTTTGACTTTTCCTTTTAGATTTTTTTTATCGATGGGGGTGATCCCCTCTCCCCCATTCTTTTCAGCCTTCACCTCCAGCCCTTTTAGTGGAAGTTGTTGGGAGTCACCCCTTTCCTTTGTCATGTTAGCAGTCTCCCCTGCTGGCCAAGGTTTGGAGCTGTGAGCTACCATGGGGAATGCTATGGTGGCTAAGAGCACAGGCTAGGGAGCAGAACCACCTGAGTTCAAACCCTGGCTCTGCCGAGAAATAAGATAATGCCCCCGGGAAAGCTACCTTTCTCCAACCACAGTTTCGTCATTTGTAAAATGAGAGAGATGAGAATAGTATCGACCTCACTGTGTTGGTGTGAGTCTTCAATGGGTAAGTAGATTTCCAGCCATTCAAGTTACTCCGGGGCCAAATTATTGTCTCATCGCGGTCCCTGCTAGAGTGCAGACATTCACTTTTGCTACAGATCCTGTAGCAAAAACTGGACAGAGAGAGTAGTTTTTGCATAAGTCAACACCTTGTGAAAAGGTTCCTGAATATTAGAGAGAAGACATTCCCAATTTGGATCCAAGGGATGGGATGAAATTTTGGTGCTCTTTGGAAAGGGAGTTTGAAAAGAATTTTGACACAGACAACAGGGGTATGAGGGTATGAGTGGGGGTGGAGGGGGGGTGGGAAGAAAAGGAGGGGGCCATGGAGGGATAAGAACACATATTAATACCTTAATCAATAAAGAAATTTAGCCTACTAGTGTGGCTCAGTGGATAGAGCATCATCCTGCAAACTTAAGGGTCCCAGGTTCGATTCTGGTCAAGGGCATGTACCCTGGTTGTGGGCACATCCCCAGTAGGGGGTGTGCAGGAGGCAGCTGATCGATGTTTCTAACTATCCTTCTCCCTTCCTCTCTTTAAAAAATTAATAAGATATATTTAAAAAAATAAAAATAAAGAAATTTAAAAATCCAGAATTTTGAGGGAAATACATTCACATGTTTAAAACAAAACAACCAGAAACAAGAGGTATAAAGGTACCTCATCTACCCAATTCTCCACCAAAAGTCTCCATTTCTCTTTCACACACACACACACACACACACACACACACACAGTATGAATTTTCCTTAATAATATGCTGTGAAGATGTTTCTATAAAGGTGCAGCAAGAGAGTGCTATTTCTTTCCCAAGTTGCATACTATTTCATCAAATGGATATATCATAATTTACTTAGCCAATCACTATAGATATTGGGTTGTTTTTCATCTTTTGCTATTCAGAGTGCTGCTACAAATACACTTTATAATCATCATTTCACACATATACATGTATATTTGTAGAATAAGCTTTATAAGTGGAATTGTTAAGGGGGGGAAAAAGTAGATTCATTTTGAATTTTCTTAGATATTGCCACATTTCCCGCCCCACGAGTATCCCAATGCATGTTCCCATCACAGTGTCAGAGTGCCTGCCTGGCTTATGGGGTCAGAATTTTGGATGGTTGCTAATCTGGTAGCTGTCAATGTGCCTTTGTGTGATTTTACCTTGCATTTCTTTTTCTTTTCTTTTTTTTAAATATATTTTATTGATTTTATACAAAGAGGAATTGAGAGGGATAGAGAGTTAGAAACGTTGATGAGAGAGAAACACTGACCAGCTGCCTCTTGCACACCACCCACTGGGGATGTGCCCGCAACCAAGGTACATGCCCTTGACCAGAATCGAACCCAGGACCTTTCAGTCCGCAGGCCAACACTCTATCCACTGAGCCAAACCGGTCCCGGTTACCTTGCATTTCTTTTATCTTGAGTAAGGGTGAACTTCCTAAATGAGAAGGGGGACCCTGAAATAGGATGTGAAAGAAATCAAAGACAAACTTCTGTGATTCACAAGTTTATTCTGAGCTAGCCCTGAACACAAGTGCTTGCACTAAATGCCTCTTCGGTTTCCACTTCAAGCACAAATTTTCACTAATATTAAAAAAAAAAAAAAAAAAAAGGTACTGGGACACACATACACACATCACTATTGTCCACCTTCCAACCACACCCTGGTGTCCAGGTCCAGTTCAACTTTCACTCTTATTACACCTGTTACGTCCTGTTTATTTTTCCTCATCTGTGGGTTTGCATTTCTAGCATCAAGATCAGATGCCAACCAGTCTCTGCTTTCGAGCTTGGTCCCCTGAAGCAAGCATGAGAAGAGCTTTATTCTGGGGAACAAGTCACCCTAGTAGAAGTCATTCTTCCTAGAATAGTTAACTCCATGTCTTCTGAGATAATTCTTGGCTTTATGTTTATTTTTTTGTTTGTTTGTTTTTTATTCCCTAGGGTCCGTATTTGGGTGGATGCCTGCTGAGAGGGCCGGCTGGGAGCAGCTGATCTGTGGAAGAACCTTCCAGGGTTGGCACTGTTTTCAGTGCCTCCTAGCCTCATTCCTTCCCTTCAGCTCAGTAACATCAAGCTCACAGCCTCTCCTGAGTTCTGCCTCCTCCACCTTACCTCTGAGCCTCAGCATAGGTCAATATGCGCTCCACCCACATCCCATTGCCCAGAAATGTGCTGCCATTTCTGGTGTTCTTACCCCCTTATGTTCTCTTGGCTCATGAGTTAACTACATTCCTGTACCTTATTACTTACATAATAAGCTCTCAGAAGAGGTGACAAGTGTCAGTATGGTCTGCCACCTTGAACTAAATGACAAATGACTCCAATGTTTTTATACAAAACAAAGGCAGTAGAACTAATTCTGTTCCTACTTTGGACACATTATTCTTACTACATGTTCATCAAAGTCAGAATGATGGTTGCCACTGTTGATTTTGATTACCCTTTGATATGCCTTTACATTGGACCCTTTCTGTGTCACACACACAGCATTTCCAGGACCTTGCATTGAGCCAAGTGCTAAATAGGACACATATGGGTGACTCATATGGATCATGACAGTATCAGAAATAATAAACTTTCATACTATAGTAATTAATAATAACCATGGTCCCATTTTAGTTGCCTTCTATTTATTTTTGTCTTTTTATTGATTTCAGAGAGGAAAAGAGGGGGAGACATAGAAACATCAATGATGAGAATTAATTGGCTGCCTCCCACACACCCCCACTGGGAATTGAGCCAGTGACCTGGGCATGTGCCCCAACCAGGAGTTGAACCCTGACCTCCTGGTTCATGGGTCAAAGCTCAACCACTGAGCAACACTGGCTGGGCTTTAGTTGCTTTTTATATTTGTATTTTATCTTGACCTAAATAAGATCCCTTCAGTTGCGTATTGTGTCTTGTAACTTTGTCTTTGCCCAAATGTGGTTCTTTGACTCAGTGGCTGCTCAGTAAGCATAGTTGATACTTGAGTGGTGGTCAGGGTGAGTGTATTAGTAGGTGCTCAAGGGAAACTGGTTGAGTATAATACCAAACTAGAAGAATTCCCCAAAAGAACCAGAAATAGAAAGAAAAGGCAATTATCATTTTTTTAATGAAGTCGAATGTTTTATTATTATACTGTTTCTTATTTTCCTGCAAGATAATTGCTCCACTGTATAAAAATAGCACCAGCAAAAGCAGCATATTGCAAAATTAAGGTAGTACTGTTCATTATCCAACACTGTACAACTAATAAACACTTATCTTCACTGCCAGTTATTTCCAATGGAAAGATCATTGAGTATTTTGAGCCAAATCTAGAGATGGATGTAAGCGAGTTACATTATATAAGTTTTATGACAATGTTAACTTTGAATTACATAACTTTTATTAGTACTTGTTACCACAGATAATTTCAGAAATTCCGAATAATGGTAGCCTAGCCTAAAAATTAGAGGGTATTGTAAAAAGATGCATATTGTTCATCTGCAATCATTTGTAGCATTGTTGTAAGTAATTTTCTTTTTTTATTAGTATGACTAAAAGTTGCTCTTTTAAATCTTTTGTCCACCACTAATTTAAGACAACTATGCTACATCAAGTTGTTTCATCAGCTTTCATACTTCCCAAAGTACCAAACTCACCTTATTTGTTCAATTTTGTCCCAATTTCAGGAGACATCTTCCAAAACTTCCTGTGCAAAATTGATGATCCCATTCACTGTTCGAATACCATTTCCAAAACATACCCATTTATGTTTCTCTGTGAACTTATGCATGGAGAGTAGGTTGGGGCCAGTGCCCAGTGACCCCACAATACGCCTCCCCCCCATCCCAACAGGCTCCAGAGCCCTGGCCATGTTCACAGTCGCAATTATTTAAAAAAAAAAAAAATACGAAAGCATATCTCAGAACTGAACGATCTGAATGACCAGGTAAAAAGTGTCAAGAAGTATATGTTTATACTTGTGCAACAAATATAAAATAAAAAGACCAACACTCGTTATCATGAAATTTCAGTTAACCAAATATAATAAAAATATCCTAAAATCTCCAAAAAAGAAAGAGTAGGTCATGCTCATAGGACAAGAAATCAAAATGGCCTCCAGCTTCTCTCTAGTAATGCTGGAGGCTAGAAGACAATGGAACAGTAACTTCAAATTTCTGAATGAAAATTATTTTCAATTTAGTCTTCTATTCTCAGCTAAACTATCATTTAACCATGAGAATAGAATTAAGACATTTTCAAATATGCATGGGTCCCAAAATTGAATCTTCCATCCGTCTTTCCTTAGGAAATAAGTGTGGCATGTGCTTTACCAAACTAGGGAATGTAGCCCTGCCCAATGTGGCTCATATGATTGAGCATCATAAGGTTGCTGGTTCAATTCCTGGATCTGCAGGTGGCAGCTAATCAATGTTTCTCCCTCTTCCTTCTTCTCTCTCTAAAAATCAATAAAAACATATATATATATATATATATATTTTTTTTTTAAATAACTAGGGAATGTACCAAGAAGGAAAAAAGATATGGAATGCCAGAGAAAGGAGAGGAAAGAAGGTCCAGCAATGATGGTGAAGAGAAACAGCATGACTGCAGAGCAGCAGGATTAGAGAGCAATCTGTCCACATTTGTTTCTTTAAGGAAAATATGAATTACTATAAAGAAAAGTACTTTTATGGTTGGATAGTATTTAAGGATAAACTATTGTTGGTTATAAAGGAAATTAAACAATAAGATGAGATAATTATCAGCTCCAGGAGAAAGAAACTGTTGTCTAAAAAAGAAAATGGAATTATAGTATACCAAATAGCCTACCTGTGAGCAGTCATAAAAAGAACAATCCTGGATAGTCATTTAACCAGCGATTGTGATAAAAACTTGTGCTTCAACAAATGGTGCTGAGACAATTTCATTTCCACGTGCAAAACTAAAATGAAATTCAACCCTGGTTACCTTATACCATACACAAAAATCAGCTAGACATGAAACGCTTACCTAAATGTAAGAGCTGAAAATACAAAGCTGCTAGAAGAAAATATAGGGGGAAATCTTTGTGGCCATGGATTAGATAGGGCATAATAACTGGAAAACAAGATTTTTAAAACATGATCTGATTATAGACTTTTTTTTTTTATCCAGAAGATAAATTTACATTTACCCCATTATCCAACTCCTCCCCCTACCTTCTGCCTCTGGAAACCACAAATCTGTCCTCTGTTTCTAGAGTTTGGTTTTTCTTTTTTTTTGTTTCCACATGTAGTGAAATTATATAGTATTTGTCTTTCTCTTGTCTGACTTATTTCATGTAGCATCATGCCCTTACAGTCCATCTATAGTGTAGCAAATGGCAGGATTCCCTTCTATTTTATGGCTAAGTAGGGTTCCATTGTTTATGTGTGTACCACAACTTCTTTATCCACTCATCCATCAGTGGACGTTAGGTAGTTTCCACATGTTGCCTGTTGTAAAGAATGGTGCGATGAACGTGGGGTGCCTGACGTCGCTTCTCAGACAGTGATTCCGTTTCCTTGGGACGTGCATATATCCAGACGTGGATTGCTGGACCACGTGGTCACTTTCATTTTATTAGGAACCTTCACACTGTTTCTCCATAGTGACTGCACCAGGTTACATACCTACGAACCGAGCACAAGGGTTGAGACGGGGCTCATCTTAAGGGACAGAGGTTGAGAAGCATTTCATTGTTGTAGTGATCCAAACTCATGTACCTCATCTCTTCATCAAAATTCCATTTGCCGCTCTTGCCTGGCAGTGAATACTGATGGTGAGGGTAAGAGGTATAGGCAAAGAGAAAGGGGTCTTCCTGTGGCGAATGGCACGTGGCGGGAGGGTAGTAGCCGTTAAAATCCACGTGCACCTTCTCTTCATAAAGATCCGCCCCGGGAGTTGGCCATAACGGGAGACAGCCGGCTTTGGCTGAAGGTGGTTCCACTGGGATCTGCTGGGAAAGGGGATCTAAAGCGTTCGGGGGAGGGGAGAAGTCATACGGCCAGCCGGCCTGAGGAAAGGCGTAGCTGGGACACCCGTTGTCGTTAAGAGGGTTTCTCCCCAAAGCAGCATTTTTATTCCAGGTTTGCAGATCACTGTAATCAGAGAGGACCCCAGCGACAGGAGGCTGAAGCAGGTCCCCGCCACCATAGATCCGAGCGCTGGACACCTTGCATTTCTCATAGAGCTCAGCGGGGCCCACGGTAGAAGTGGGGTCTGCCAGGTCCGAGGCTCCCCCCAAACCGTAGCTCTTAAGAAAGCACTCGCTCGGTGACTTCTGCTGGGGGATGCCAGCCGCCAAAGGCCCACCGTCACCGCCAGGCAGGTGGAGGCTTTCCTGGAAAGACCAGTTTAAATTCCCCCAACTTGGTGCTTCACCTGGAACAGACTGGAAAGTGAGAAGCTCGTGTAAGTAAGTGAAGCAGATGGACACAGCTACCCGGGCACCCATGAGTTACTCTGCACAAATAGGTGCGCTGTCCGCGTTTCCTCATTCCTGGCATGCTCAGAGCACAGACACACGGAGCGGCTTCACCGCAACCTCTCAAGATCTGAAAGAGGAGACGCTGACTGCATCTCCATTTCAGATCTTACTAACCAACAAGCACCAAATTTCCCTTCACTCTGACATGAGCGTTTAGACATTTCCCCTCAGATGCCAGTCTGATATCCTAAATGCCTTTGCAACAAACTTATAAGGGGCTCCTTGAGAAAAGTCAAATTACAGCACCACAGATTTGTATTATACTCAGTACACTTCTCAGGGGTCTCTCTCTCTCTCTCTCTCTCTCTCTCTCTCTCTCTCTCTCTCTCTCTCTCTCTCTCTCTCTCTCTCTCTTCCCTCCTTGACTTTCTATTTCTCAGTGCTGTGTGACGTCCGAGAGACTAGGGTTTTTGTATTTTTTTCCTCAAGAGATTTTTCTCTGAACTTATTTTGTTGAATCATAAATAGGACTTCTAGACTATGAAGACTATGAAGTGGTAAGTTTACTATTATTATTTAATGTATTTTTATTGATTTTGGAGAGGAAGGAAGAGGAGAGATAGAAACATCAATAATGAAAAAGAAGCATTGACCTGCTGCCTCCTGCACGCCCCATGCTGGGAATTAAGCACACAACCCAGGCATGTACCCTGACCAGTAATCAAACGGTGACCTCCTGGTTCATAGGTCAACCTCAACCACTGAGCCACACCGGCCGTGCTGTAAATTTATTTTTGTAAAGAGAAAGTATATTTTTCTCCAGTGAATCCTAGGAAAATAATCTGGTTGAGGACTAAATAATCCTCTTGCCTATGCAAAACAATTGACTAATTAGAGAATGGGATGGAGAGACTGTCACCAGTTAAGAGTGAGTGGGAAGAAATGTCCCATGGCTGGGAGAAGGGATGAGGGCCAGTTATTTGAACTAGGAGCTTACAATTCCTGACAAAAGACACAAGGTGTATGTGTGTGTGTGTGTGTGTGTGTGTGTGTGTGTAATGTTAAAGTATAATACATTTATACTTCAGAATGACTCCACTTCTGTTCTGAAAAAAACTTGAAGCATCCATGGCTAGTGTTGCTTAGTGGCTGGAGCAGTGGCACACACACCAAAGGGAAATGGGTTCAATTCCCAGTCAAGGGCATGTACGTGGGTTGGGGGTTTCAATCCCCAGCCCTGGTTGAGATATGTGTGGAAGGCAACCAATCTCTCCCCTCCCTACCACCCCTCCACTCTCTCTAAAAATCAATGGAAAAAATATCCTCAGGTGAGGATTAACAAGAAACAACACTTAAGAAAAGAAATGTGGAGCATTGAACAGTAAAAAAATAAAATAAAAAAGAAAGAAAGAAAAAAGAAGTATAGGACTTACTATACTATTAAGCAGACATAACCCCCATAAAGGCATGGACTTCACATCACCTCCCGCCAGGCCCACCTGATGACCATTGTTGCAGAAACTGCCTGGTTATTCCATCTGGCTCAAATGTGCTAAGGGAACACAGTTGACCCTGGAACAACATGATTTTGAACTGCACTGGTCCACTTTTATGTGGATCTTTCTCAATAAATACATATACTATTTGGATCCAAAGTTGGGAGTCTGTGGATGCAGAGGGCTGTCTGTCTGCATTGACCACCACCATTCTCTGTAGGGGATTTGAGCACCCGTGGTTTTTGGTATCTATTGGGTGTCCTGGAACCAATTTCTGTGGATCCTGAGGTACAACTTCAGTTTGTGGGGAGTCAAAATTATATACAGATTTATTACTACTGGGGGGGAGGGGTGTCAGTGCCCCTAATCCTTACATTGTTGGAGGTTAACTGTAATCTGTTTTGGGGAAGAATGACAATGTGGGTGGAAAGCATGATGCTAATATTTGTGGAGATCATTTCAGTTAATTCTGGTTCTCTGAGAACCAAATTTCAGAGTGCCAAAATATAAGCTGAGCACTAATTCCAGTCTCTTTTTCATTGTGGTAGGGAAGATGGCCCTAACATTATATAGAATTTATGTTGAGAGCATGCGACAAAGATGGTAGAAATTAAGAGGAATCCCTCAGGCTCAGTTTATGTGGCGGATGCTGGCTTACAGGTGAGCCTGGCAGGATGTGGCTTCTGCTTTCGCTTGTAAGTAAGAAGCTGGAGAAATCTACTGCTCCACCATCGGGGTGGTGAGTTGCCCTATGGTTCTGAGCACACACAGGGAAGAAGAGTTACCTTTGCCTCCGGGCCCCTGTTCAGCTTTAAGGAGATGGAGGAAGATGCCCCATGCGCTTTCTTTATTGTTCTTCTTGCCTCGGCTTCCAATTTGGTTTCTGGCTTTGGATGATCGTGTTCTCCCTTTGACTTAAAAGGAGACAAGGATGCAAAATAAATGACCAGATGGTGCTTCCTGGTGTGTAAAATGTTACCCTGTCACATGACTGTGTGTTGAGTATTGTAACAAGATTGGCCACTGTTACACCCTTTAAGTCCCTCCCAAGTCCACTGTGCACTGCCTTGCCTGCCTGTTTTTGTTTACGATGCTCCTGCTTTCCAAGGTGTCTCTCACCCACATGGCAAAGCCCTACTCATCTGGACAGCAAGTACTGCCTATGGCACACGATCACATTTAACCTCCAGCACAACCCTGTGACGCACATGCTGTCATTATCATTCCCAGGGAGCGGAATGGGGAGTTGAGGCATGGAGAGATTGCGATGCCAGGGTCATGTGCCTGGTAGGTGGGTGAGCTGGGAGCTAACGGTTAAAGATTCGGGAATTCTATGAGCTGGTTGTTAGAAACAGCCGGTAGCTTTAAATCAGCCAGGACGGGAAGATTTACAGCACAGGAATGGGCGAACCCTGCAAATCAGAACACTTTCCTTTGGTGGGGAGTGGGCGGGGTCAGGGTTACCAGCACGCCACTGCTGAGAACGCTGGCAGACACAGGCAGAGGCCACTCCTCTCCGCTGTGCATACCACCGCTCCTGCTTTCACTTCCCAATATCCAGGTTTTACAGAGCACGGGGGTTTAGGGAGGACGGTGTTTGGGTTTACAGAGCAACTCAGAAGCCAGAGCTGGTCTTCATTCTGGAGCTGGAGGTTGTGCACAAGTCAGGGCTGCTGACACGAGTGCGATCACATTTCTAACCCCTTGGGAGCCCGAGGCAGAGGCACCCAGGCCCCGCTGGTGGGGTGCAGGCACTTGCTCGCCCAGAGTGTGCCTCGGGGTTGGTGTCGGCTCTCATTCACCTGCGCATCTCCTGTGTGAACCCCCTCTGCACGCTCTGTAACCAGTTATTGAATTCAAGAGAAATGGCATCTTATCACTATCACCCAAGTCCAACCTGGAAAAATATGAAGCGTCCTTCGTGCCTCCAGAAGTTGGTGACCGGGAAGCCCCCGTGGCCTCGGCAAGGAATGAGCTTCAGGGGCCCGTCGCAGTTGGGACAGCATTTCCCTGCAAAAGAGCAGCAGAAGGTGAGCACGTGCCACCGAGCCATGCCCGCTGACCCCTGAGCCCAGGCAGCCCTGGCGGTGTTAGCCGAGAAGCCTGGGTGGCAGAGAATACGCCTGGGCCAGTTTTATGCTCTTCCATCCACTGCGCTTAACCCCTGGCCCCAGGAAGCCTGGCCACCACTCGGCCCAGATCAGCCTCACATGTGGCTAGAGGAAGCGGCCTATAGAACGGGGTATTTCACAGGTTAGGGGAGGGCTCCCCAGAGCAGAATATTCCTCCCTAAGCATTTATGGGTCAGTTAAAATTCTTTGTAGAAAAGAAGAAAAAAAAATTCCTTTACGTCAAGATTAGAACTAAGGGTCAAGGAGCAAAGCCACATGGGAGAGAGAACGCAGACGCTAAATTTTACTCAAGTGTGAATGGCTGATATTAGATCTTGCCTTGAGAGCAAGTCTTGAAGACAAGTCACAAGGAAACAGCAGGAGGTTACTTGAGGTCTGAAATGGACCAGGCACAGGGAATGCTGAATGCATTTCACAATCCGATGAATATGATAAAAAGCAAAAGGAGCACATTTTTCCGCATGTGATTATGGCATGAACCCAAACGTCATGGAATTGAGTCCCATCTCAGATTTAGCCCAGTGCTACCACTCCAGATCAAATCACTCTTTGAGCTCACATAGGGATCTTTTCTCCATGGGGTCAGGAGGCAAATCTAATTCACAACCTTTTCCTAAACTTTACATGAGCTCACTGATGAATTAATGCTAGTTCCATAAGTGAGGCATCACCTTTTTTTTTTTTTTCCCCACAAAACATCAGTACATATTAGACATTTTTAAAAAACATTTCTTTACTTTTTTTTTTTAATTTCAGCTTCATTGAGGTATAATTGGCATCTGCCTTTTAACAGAGGCCTTGGGTTAGGTGCCTTAACTCAATAGAGCAGTGTTAATGGTGGATGCTCTGGTCCTGGCAGACCCTAGGGGCAGGCCCCCGTGGGGGCAAAGGGGGGTGGGTGGGTTCTCCTTATTATGTTCTGCATAGGGACAGCCTTGGTCTCCTCCGGTGTGAAGGCTGAGCCCTTGCAATGTGCTGGGATGCAGCCGCCCAGCTGAGCGGGAGCATTTGAATGGACACCAGCTTCCTCTCCAGCACCAGCCAGCGAGCCCCACTCACTCTGCTGCTTCTGCCGGGCTTTGTCGCAGATGGCGGGCCTCAGGTAGATCTTGCGGCCCTCCTTGGCGGAGCAGTCGCGGCTGCACACCACCACTCCCAGGCAGGACTTCTTGAGGATGCGCGAGTTGTGGTTGTTGGTGTTGCGCATGGCCCAGCTGCTCAGGTGCCTCTGTGCGCTCCTGTCCTCCGAGCTGTAGATGTACTTCTCATAGGAATCCGGCCATTCCTGGAACCAGTCTATCTTTTTCACATCCTTACAGAAACACAAAGAATACCGTTATATTTCAGGCTAGAAGGCACGGCTGTCCATCACGTGGAGCCCATAGCAGGGAAGGTTGTTCTGTCTCTAAAGAGCTAGGCCAGGGCCGAAACCGGTTTGGCTTAGTGGATAGAGCGTTGGCCTGTGGACTGAAAGGTCCCAGGTTCGATTCCGGTCAAGGGCATGTACCTTGGTTGCAGGCACATCCCCAGTAGGGGGTGTGCAAGGGGCAGTTGATCGATGATTCTCTCATTGATGTTTCAATCTCTCTATCCCTCTCTCTTCCTCTCTGTAAAAAATCAAGCAGCAGCTGTGTCTCCCGAACCTCTGCTCCCTGGACCAAAAGGAGCTGTGACTCAGCCCTCTGAGTACTACCCGATGGCGGCTTCTCCGGCACTTGGTGATAAGAGTTATGACCCCTTCTCACTGAGAATTCTGGAGGATGAAGTAACGTTATTGTGTTGACACAATTAATGTGGAAAAGCCCTTGTGGCAGGATAGTGAGGTCATACCTCATATCACCGTGCAGTTATCGTATTAAGCACGGTAAGGCTAATGCAAAGTCATCAGCGGAGGGAGGACTAGAGAGCCCGGGTGCAGGAGGATTCTGAGAGCCAGGTTCGCCCCTGTGGAGGTCTCCTTTTTTTTTTCTCTACTCCCGTATTCATGTGCCTCAAACAGGGGGAGGAGTAAGGAAGAGGTTGCTTTGGCTGGAAGCTTCTATCTTCTTGCTCAGAACTGGCGCTATTCCCAGTGCTGAACCTCTAACTAAACAAAGACACTCCGTCATTACGGCAGAAGGTATTTGGCTTTCTGCTTATCTGTTTCCTTGCCTGTGTAACAGGGAAAACAAGACGTGTCTACCTCAGAAGTAGTTCTGAGAATTAAATACGATAATACGTAAAAATACCTAGCACAGCATGGAACCCTTAACAAATGTAAGCCACATTCCTCCGGCCCCGCTGTGGTCCACAGATGCTCCACCAGACAGTCCCAGCTAGTTCTTAGCGTGAGAATTATTAAACAGTCTCAGGAGTCAAACTTGGGCTGTGGCCGAAACCGGTTTGGCTCAGTGGTAGAGCGTCTGTCTGCGGACTGAAGGGTCCCAAGTTCGATTCCGGTCAAGGGCATGTATGTTGGTTGCGGGCACATCCCCGGTTGGGGGTGTGCAAGAGGCAGCTGGTCAATGTTTCTCTCTCATCGACGTTTCTAGCTCTCTATTCTTCTCTCCTCCTCTCTGTAAAAAATCAATAAAATACATTAAAAAAAACAAAACAAACTTGGGCTGTGTTCATCCACACAGCTCCCAGACACCTGCCATGGTATAAGAAGAGTCTGGAAGATCAGACTAGAAGATTCCAGAAGATCCAGAAGGCGTGACCAGGGTACTAGTGCTCATTGCATTAGATTTCAAGTTCAGAACATGACAAAGAACTGTGTAACGTGAGACTCTGAGCAAGTGGTTTTTGTCTCCGAAGCCTCACTTTGCTCTTCTCTGAAATGGGAACATTGACCAAAGCACACTTCAAACAGCACTGTAATGAGATCTGTAAGCTTTATGCAATGCGAGTTGTTTAAGTGGAATGTCACGGGAGGTGAGACAGGTCTGAGGAAATACGAGAGGTTTTATGTACTTAAGAGGTTAGTGGTTAAGCACTTGGGCCTGCAAACTCAGACGCATGGGCCAAATCCAACCCACTCTCTGCTTTTGTCTATAAAGTTTTATTGGAACACAACCGTGTTTCATGCCCTTGACTGTTGTCCATGAATACTTTCATGCCACCACGGCAAAATTAAACAGTTCTGGCAAAGACTAGATGAGCGGAAAAACCTAAACAATGTGGCCCTTTACAGGAAGTTAGACAATTCCTGGCTAATAGCACGGCCAATGGAAGCATGTGAAGTCTTAACGAGCTCCTCCCCCTCTCAGTGCCTATTTCCTGCTCCGTAACAGGAGCACCTACCTCACAGGGATGCTCTGAGGATCGAATCATCTGGCATACACAAAACGTTTATAATTGACAGCAGCAAGCTCCACATCACGTTGGCTGTTATCTGCTAGACCTGGAGCCACACCAGCCAGCCACTGTGACTGTAGGAGCCCCCAGCTTTCAGGGGAGAAAAGTGCCTCTCATCATTGATGCCTCTCTCTCTCTCCCCCTCTCCCTTCCTCTCTGAAATCAATAAAAGTTAAAAAAATTTTTTTAAGGCATAAACAAATTAAAGCTTTCAAAAAAAAAAAAATTGTTGCAACTCTTGTTCCACCACCTTCCCTTCTCAGGGCAATGACCACAGCGGGCCCTTTGAGGAACTCCTGTGGTTTGGGAAGGGGAGGTTGTCCCTGGAGAGAAGGGTGAAGGGTACTTCTGAACGGGATGAAATTCAATGCCCAGAGTTGAGAGAAATAGCTCAGGCAGCCGCATCATCTCCTGCTTTCTCCACCCACCTCTCTCCTCTCCCTTCTAGCCTAAGCTCCACATAAGGCTCTCCTGTTTCCTGTCACAGAAGTGCTACAGAAAGCATAGCATTTTACCTTATAAAATAATCAAAATGCAGGTTAAAATGTGTACCTTTGTCTAATAATTTGAACTGTACAAATCTACTGGTGGATCCCAATTACTGAAATACAAAGCACAGTTGTCAGGGTAGCAGGGTCAGGGAGAGGGGGACTTAGAGAAGCTGAGATTTTCATGTTTTAAGGGGAGTGGCCCTTTAGGCTGGTCACTGGCATAAATCCCATGAGCCAGGAGGAGGGCAAGGTATTTATGAGAGCGGCTCAGATGTTCTGGTTAAAGAAAACTCCCTGTTCTAAGAGGAAAGAAAATGATCTCCACCCTGTCTGTCTCTCTCTTTCCCACTTTCTCTCAGTTTATTGTATATTTTGATCTCCCTCGAGGCTTCCTCTTTGACCCATGGGTTATTTAGAAATATATGGTTTAGTTGAAAGATTTTCCTGTTGTCTTGCTATTTTCTAGTTTGATTCTATTGTGATTGGAGAATATACTCTGTGTTGTTTTTTGTTTGTTTGTTTGTTTGTTTTTATTTTAACTAGTGTCCCAGTGTACAAAATTTATGCACTGGGGGTGGGGGTGTCCCTCAGCCTGGCCTGCACCCTCTCATAATCCGGGACCCCTTGGGGGGATGTTCAACTGCCGGTTTAGGCCTGATCCCAGCCTGGCCTGTGAGGATCAGGCCTAAACCAGCAGTCGGACACCCCCTAAGGGATGCAGCAGTGCGTCAAGTACCAGGTGGCCAGGGAGGAGCCCAAACTGGGCCAGGCGCTGTGCTGCTCATGCTCATCCCCGCCCGCTGTGCCTGCTGCCTCGGAGTTGGGAGAGGTTCCCACTGCCACAGATGCCCTCGCCAGCTGTGAGCCTGGCTTCTGGCTGAGCAGCACTCCCCCGGTGGGAGCACACTGACCACTAGGGGACAGCTCCTGCATTAAGCATCTGCCCCCTGGTAGTCGGTATGTGTTTGTCATAGCGACCAGTCGTTCCAATTGTTCTGTTGTAATAGTTGCATATATATATATGCAACTATTACAACAGAACAATTGGAACGACTGGTCGCTATATATATATATATATATATATATATATATATATATATATATATTTTTTTTTTTCCCCCTTGAGATTTGTGTTAGGGATCACGTTATGATCTACATTCTACTCTCTTTTCAGCTTTTCTCCCCCACAGCCCCTCCACTGGCACCCTAGGTTTCCAGTACTACTAATAATATAACCATTTTGACAATGGATGGACTTGAGGACATAACTAGGAGTAAAAGGACTCAAGCTATTCTCTTGGCTATTTATTTATGCCCAGTTTTTTTTTTGTTTTTTTTTTTTTACCTGGGTGCTTTGTGGAATCTTTTATCTCTTTTGACAATGAAATTAAGGAAAACCCAGATCACAATAATGCAAAGGAACCCAGGTGTCAAATGATAGTGATTTTGAAAGCCTTTTAAATGTAAGGCACAGAAGAGATAAAATGTAAAAAGAAAGAATAATTATTTAATTGTGTTTAGTAAACTCCTGCAAAATATTTTCTTCTTCTTTTTTTTTTTTTTTTTAGATCTTTTGTTTATTTTAATTTCTAACTTTTCATGAGTAACTCTTTGTTTTTCTTCTTGGTTAAGAAGTTTATAATTTAAGGAGAATATTCTTAAGGTTTTCAACATGCAAATATAACTAACTTATATTTTATAATCTCATTGGTAATATATTGGGGCTTCCTGAATGTTTTTCTGACGTCTCTGTGCAATTTTTCACTAAAAGACTTAATCCTCTAATTTTCAAAATATTTGAAACTCTATATATTCATAGATCATCCTTCATCATCTCCTCATTCTAATTTATTTAACTACTGAAGTTTTACCAGAGTACCTTAAGAATTAATATATTATATAAAACAAATAAAATCAATCTTCTGAAATGAGGCATAAAAAATATCTACCTTATTAGGTTATTATATTAAAACTGATTTTCACTTTGAATATATAATAGTCTACCAACTAACTACTTTAATAAGTTGTCATACTGAAAGAAACCAACTGGCCTGTGAGGATCAGGCCTAAACCAGTTTCTTTCAGTATGACAACTTATTAATTCTTTATAAATAAATGTTTCTAAGCAAAACAGGGAATAGCAAACAGATACATCTCAAAGCAAATGAGATAGAGGGGGAAATTAGATGTTACCTATGGAAAAACAATTCCACCAACATTTTGATTTACACACAACTTTTCAAGAATTTATCTCTTCTGAGCCAAATGAAGACAAACTCCAAGGGTTATAAAAAAAAAAAAAGATAAATTCTATTCAACAAAATGCATTTGCGTCGAGAATTCCTGCTTAGGCTAAACCTGCCATCTCCTTCCTTTGTCAAGGGGTCAAGACTCGGACAAAAAGCACCTAACTTACTCCGACTGTCACACTAAGGTGATCCAGCGTGGCCCAGCTTTCACATTCTGTCACCTGCCTCTCTTTTCT